CCCCCCCCCCCCCCCCCATATCTCATCTCAGGCGTGGGATTAAAAATTTTTTTTTTTATATCCCCCCCTCTCCCTCTCCCTCTCTTCCTATATAAACAACCAACACTCCTCAACTCAGGCTAACGGTGAATCACTTCTCTCCTAAAACAACAACAGCCCCCCACCTCCTCCCTCGCCGGAAACCGCCAACGTAGCCGAAAAATCCGAAGCCAAGCCAACTTTTCATATAGCCTCCCAAACCTTCTGCATCCTTAATGAAATTTGTAACCCTTGGCTTGAACAACCCAGCCCACACCACCGCCGCCGCTATAAAAGCCCTCTAAAGCTCACGACCACCTTTCAACTTTGCACGAAAAACTCTTCCGAAATTCACCCAAATTGTTATATTATTCTTCTTAGGTCCTTAGGAAGCCAAAGCAATTATTTTCCATCATTTTGGCGGTTGTTAACACCTCCTCCAAGCGAAGTCAAGTAAACTCCGACGAACTTCCAATCCGACGTAAAAACGACATCAAACCGACGCCACGAGGAGTTGAATAAGCTCAAGAAGACGTACTTATTTCAACCTAATTGAGGAAAAACTTCTTAGGCTCAGGTATATCTTTTAAATTGAAACAATTATCCCGAATTTTCCTCCCTTCCAGATCAAAAAATAGATCACATAACACATAAGTATCTGTATGGATGTGATCTACTATTCGAACTGAACAAAACGAACCCAAGAACGCGAAATTTGGTTAAGAATCGGTGGAGAACGGACTCCGGGAAGTTTCGGTCGTCGGTTCTCCTCTATGCGTGCATTGCGGGTTCCGCTTCGTGGGTGTCGCGTGAGGGAGGAAGAGATGCGGCAAATTTATTATTTTTTTATTTTATTCAAAAAATTATAATTAAACTTCAAAATTACATAACTTTTTATCGAAAACTCAAAAAAGTAAATAAAAAAATGTTATGAACTCAGAAAAATGAGAAAAATTTTTCAAAACTGAAATCATAATTTTTCGTCAACGAAATATTTTTAAATTAATTTTTGAAGTTATGGAGTATTTAAATCATAAAAATTAAAATATAAATGAGAAAAATATGAAATTTGACAGAGATATTAAATAGGCTTAGAGAAAGCTTCTCTGATTTTTCCAAGACATTTTAAGGTCACTATATTTGTATTTTGATTTTTGAACAAAATGACATATTTATGTAAATTAAAAATTATAAAAATTATAAAAATTGTAAAACTCTCTCAGACTGAGCGTTTGACCATAAACAGAGGTTTAAAAATTTTAAAATCAGGTTTAAAATAATTTTTATAATTAAAACACGTTAATTAGGGTTCAGGTTTAATTTAGGCTAATTTTACCTAACCCAAGTTCAACCTAAGTTCAACCTAGCCAGTTTTATTTAGGTCCTGTTCAACCTGATTACAGACCTAGTCAGTCAACTCAAGGATTGAGTCAATCACCCATTAAGTCCAATTTTAGTCATTTAGGGCTTTAGGCCAGCTAGTCTTCAGACCGAGTCTAGCCTGAGAAAACTTAACCTTTAGCTAAGTTCAATTTGAATAGTTGGACCATTTTAAACTTGAGATTTAAGTCATTCTATCATTTAATTCAGACTAAACTTCTTGGATTTTAGAGTTAATCAACATGAACTTTAGTTTAGTTTAACCTACATGTTAGGTTCATCCTAAACTAAACCTTAATCTTAGGTTAGCCTTAACCTAGACCATTAGGATTAGTGATCCTAACCACTAAGATTAACCAGTGTAAATACTATGATTAGTTAATCTAGACTTTAGATTAGTTAACCCTAAACCAATAAGATTAGTTAACCCAAACCTTAAGTTAGTTAACCCTAATTCATAAGATTAGCTAAGCCTAAACCCTATGTTAGTTAACCTTAAACTAATATGATTAGTTAACCTAAATCTTAGGTTAGTTAACCCTAAACTAATAGGATTAGCTAAGCCTAAACCTTAGGTTAGTTAACTCTAAACCAATAGAATTAACTAACCTGAACCCTATATTAGTTAGCTTTAAACCAATAGGATTAGTTAACCTAAACCCTAGGCTAGTTAACTCTAAACCAATAAGATTAGTTAACCTAAATCTTAGGTTAGTTAACCCTAAATGAATAGAATTAGTTAACCTAAACCCTAAGTTAGTTAGCCTTAAACCAACAGGATTAGTTAACCTAAACTCTAGGTTAGTTAACCTTAAATCAATATGATTAGTTAATCTAAACCTTAGGTTAGTTAACCCTAATTCAACTCTAGCCTTTAGATAAAACAAACCTGAATCATAACTTAGTCTTAAGCTAAACATATCTTAAACCTTAGGTTAAGAACCTAACCCATAGGTTGAACATAGGAGAACCTTTTAGGTAAAACCTTAAGCCTAAGTTAAACTTAAACCCCTCAACTTGAACATCAATTAAGAAATAAAATAAAATACATTGGGAGGGATAAAATTTACATAAAACACATTAAAACTTAAACTTAAACTAAAACAAATACATAAAGACTTTAAAGCATGACTTTGACGTTAAGTCAGCTTCGAAGTCATCAACTTCACGTAAGTAATAACAAATGAACAAAAATAATTAAAATAAAACACTTAAAATCGGGCAACAAGATGTAAACAACCTAAAACATTTCAACCCTAAAATCAATAAAGTGACTCAAAGATCAATTAAATCTTAATCACAAAGATCACATAACGCAACTTAAACGCTTTTTTTGTTCATGTTCACGAAGATTTCTTGGACGATGCATTCTGTGGATGTTGACAAGAGTCTTCCGGTCCTGGTAGACAACCACCTTTCAGACTAAGTAAACTAGGGCATCCGACGACCCGGGACGACGGAGCCATAGACATCTTGACTGTGTTACCACTAATTAAATAATTAAAATTTAATAAAAATTTGATAAAATATTGTTTCTTTATTTGCTCTATTTATTGCTTTATGCATCTCCATGCATGTTCTTTTACTGTTTTTATCAAACATAGAATGCATTTTTTAAGGACAAATAATGAAGGAATAAAAATTGTTTAGATTAGGGAGAACCTAGAAATCATAACACTAGGGAATTACCTAGCTTAAGTGAACTTAGCCTTGACTTAGGCTTGAATAATACCTCCACTACCCTTTAATTAATTCACTATAAAATTATTGAAACAAATAAAACTTTTAATAATAAGATTGGAGGACCTGAAGACTTGAAGGCAATTCAACAAGGAACTTGAAGCAGACTTCGTGGGCAACTCGTTCCAGACCTTTCTTTAGTTTAAATAATAATGCTTAGGATCCCGAGGTTGTATTTTATGACATAAAACCTCTCTTTTTGTTAGGCTCCTGCATAGTCTCGATATGCAACATGTCCTAACTTATTTTAGGATTCCGAGATAGTCACTCGACGTAAAATCTCATATCTTTCTAGGTTTTTTGTGTAGACCATCATTACACAAATCTAACCCCTAATTAATAAAACTGGCAAGAGTTAACTTAAATTAATATTATCTTAAATTGAGTCAAACATTAGGATAGTTTGAGGGATTACCAAGAACCTATTCTGGATCTTTAATCTCTCTTATTTTTTTTTTATTCTTAAAATAAAATCTTTCACCTTTGAATCAATCTCTATTGAAAATTTCACAATCATGTTCGTTGAAAACCCTTCCCTTTGAACTCATTAAAACAAAAAAATTCATGATTTTTATCGAGAGTTTTCTTAAGTGATCCGTTCGCTTAAGATGTAATTAAACTATAGGGGTTTGCCCTTATAGGGAACTTAAAAAAACCCAGATTTAAAATAAACCCTATTTGACTCCCATATCGAATAGGAAAATCTGTCGGTCATTATGCAAAATTGCAGATCAAACGAAAATCATTTATTTCTATAGTTTATTTAATTGAGTTTATTATCAAGTAATGTGTTACATTTCAGGGTGGTACATTACTTGTGGTTAGCTCGATTATCTAAACTGTAGGAATCAATGAGATCAGTTTGACCCCATTTTCTTCAAATTAAAATACCTAATTTCTAAACACTATATTACGCTAAATTAAATCGCACCCAGCCGCATGACGACCGACACAAGGCTGTAGATCCTCTCATTTTTTCTCCCGCTAGCTTCCCTCTAGATTTCGATGTTAGAGTTGTCAGACTGATCACTAGAGCTACAAACTCTTGTTGGGCTATAACTCTAAGACTTCTTCAGACACATATAATCATCATATAGAAGATTCAAAAAGTAATTAGCATCAAAATAAAAGTGTAAATAAATTTTATAAATAAACTAAGTATTACTACTTTTGTGGACATTGTGAGATCTGTTGTCGACCCGCTGATGGTCTGGTTAACGCTGATGTGTGCTGCCATGCAACTTAGCAACAATGGGCTCTCGTCCAAGCATCAACATTTATTAACATATAAAAATAAAAAGTAACTACATAAATATCATTTTAATATCATCTTACTTGGTATGTGGAATCGAGCATTTAGTTTGTAAGGAGGCTCCCATACCCCCACATTCCGAGGTCCGGTTTTTTCGTGCTTTCCCTCTTACTGACATAGGCAGGAGTGGACCACACTCTTGTCATTCAGCTCAGCCAATCTCGCCAATCCAGACAGACCTCTCCCACTTATAGTCAACCCGGCTCAGACATCCTCCAGCATCTTAAATTTTAGTATTTTTATTTTCATATAAAATTATCAACTTTGTGAGCTGTGAATCTTCAAATTTTCTTTATATTGTTGCCTGCTAGACATCATATTAGTTGTTTGAAAACCCTAATCTCGAGTCGTCCTGTTTCATTACATCAGCTAGTGTTGTTTATTTTTTGCTCTGGCACATCTGCATAAGTTTGTTATGAGCAAATATGCTGTTATTTTGTTGGTAATCAAAATTGTATTTGGGTAACTCGCTCAATATTTTAATGTTTTTGTTGTTTTAATGCATAAGACTAGTATAAAAGCGAAGTTTTTGACCACATGCCTTGCTGAGCTTTCAATGCCTCGTGCCCAAGCAGTAGTTTAGCAAACATATTAGGTTTGAAGCTTGGGAACTTCGTTTATTGTTCATTAAATGGGACTTCTAAGAGTCAGAAAATGCTCCGTTGTGCTGTCTAATTTTTTAGCTTCTCTTTTAGGATTCATCCTGATTTAATGTTAGCATTTTCATCCATTTTTCATTGCTTCTTTCAGAAGCAAGTGTATCTGAGTCTGAAGATGATAATGAAAGGCAGGATGCTGCAGAAGAAGAGACTGAGGATGAAGATAATGCTTTTTTTGACACACAAGATTTCCTCTCATCAAGTTCATTTAAGAGCAGTGGGTCTGACTTTCTTAGATCCGAAATTGATTCTGATGAAGAGGAAGAACATGGTATTGCTTCAATCGATGGGCATGCCCACACCATGAGTTCTTTAGGACCTAGGTTTCCATTTGTTAGGAGACGAAAAAAGCTGCCAGACCCAGTTGAGAAAGAGAAAGGTGTCAGCCTTTGGTCAATGATTAAAGACAACATAGGGAAAGAGCTAACCAAAGTTTGCCTTCCAGTCTACTTCAATGAGCCTCTCTCATCATTGCAGAAATGTTTTGAGGATCTTGAGTACTCTTATCTACTCGACAAGGCTTATGAATGGGGTAAAAAGGTACGTTTCCAGGCGGGTCTTGTTTTCACCACATGAAACTTAATCCTCCATGACTAGGACAGTTTTTACTCGTGCCATTCAGTTTCATTGAGTAGCACACTTTGTCCGTGCTTCTTGTTGTGGAAATTCAGGAAAATATTTTTCTTTTTTTCTTTAAATATATTTTCTGGGAATTATTTGCTTCGGTTTTTGTTCTGAAATTAGATGAATATATCACTCTGCAGTTTACTTTCATATATGCAATGTAGTAGGTAAGTATCTAGCCAAGCCCTTTCTCTGGGGCAAAGTGGAAACAGGTATTCGAAATTTGAAAACCCTAACTCATATCATGATAATTTAGCCAATTATCATCCTAATCTTAATGTTTGATTGTCTGTTTCTCGTGCTAATGACACTTTTTTCGAATGAGTTAGTTTTATCTACTTGTTTAGGTAATCCAACTATAAGTAATCTTGGCTGTTTCTGGTGGTCTTTGTGGTTGCTCCACTTTTCTTAAAAAGTTACGCTAGAAAAGAATCCATTTGGATCTTCCATGATTTGGAAGTACAAAAACATGTTTATTTTTTGTTACAAAAGCAAATCAATTTATTATTTTATTTATACTTACATTCTGTGAAACTAGTGAGAATTATCATCTTCATAAGAATGTGATATGCCTCGATACCAAAATTAGTGAACAAAAACACAATGAAACATCAATAGATGGGTGGAATAAATGCAAACAAGCAAGATACAAAAGATGATCTACTTTCGGGATTTACATCTGCTCTCCCACACTCTAGACGTCGCCAGGAACACCATCAAAAGAAAGAAAACACAACAACCAACCAAATAAAACATAAAAGAAAACAAACCCTAGGTTCTCCCCTTAATAGAGTCTTGATACAACATTTGAAAAATTTCCTCCAAAATCCCCTCAAATTCTCCTCATTGAGTATGCGATTATGACCCCAACGGGCCCCACCTGCTCCTTTCCTTCCTCTCTTGCGGCATTTGGTCACTCGGTTGCTTCCTGTGAAGAGGGCCGACGCTTGGCTGCTTCGCGTTAAGACAATAGGCCTAGTTCCCTCTGTTGCTGTCCAGTTTGTTGGCCATCGACTCGTCCAATTCTAGGCGTTACAATGCTCCCCTCCCAAAGAAGTACTTTTTTTCTCAATGTGGAGGGATGAAAATTGCTTGTGGATCACCTCGTAAGGCTCTCATGTTGCTTCATAGTCTCACTGATTTTTCCACTTAACCAATGCCTCATTTGCTCCCCCCACTTCCTAACACACGCCTTCGATTTCTAGCAACTCCAGAATCACCTCCAAGTCCTCTGTCACTGTCGGTGGTAATTTAGACCAGGGTATATGATCTCTAATCACCCGTCTCAACTGCGATACATGAAAGACTGAGTGTAGTGCGGACAACGATGGTAACTTCAAGCTATAGGCCACTGCTCCGATTTGTGCTATCACCTCATAAAGCCTAAAGAATTGCGGTGACGATTTTTTACTTCCAGTCCCGACCAATGTCTTCTATCGGTAGGGCCTCAGTGTCAAGTAGACTCTATCTCCTGGTTCAAATTGCACATCTCTTGTGTTCGTTCACCTTTATCTTCATGATTTGATGAGTTCTCAGTAAATGCCCTTTGAGCTTTGCTAGTATCTTGTCCCTCTCCTCCAAGTGCTGATCGACGCTGGATATCAGTGATATTATGCCCAAAATGTATCAAGTGACGTGAATCCCGCCCATACAACACCTTGAAGGCGTTGTCTGTGTTGTTGTATGGTACAAAGTATTATACCAATATTTGACCCATGCAATCCACTTAGCCCATAGCTTTGGTGTATCAGATAAAAAAAACGCAGGTATGTCTCCACACTCTTGTTGACCACCCCCATCTGCCCATCGATTTGGGGATGATATGCAGTGCTTCTTTTAAGGACTGTCCCTTTCAACATGAATAACTCATTCCATATGTGGCTGAGGAACATTTTGTCCTTTTCTGATACAATCGATTCCGGCACCCGTGCAAACAGACCACTTTTCGGATAAACACCGCCGCGACTCATCTCATGCCGATCCATGCCCTCACCTTCATGGTATGATTCAGGTTAAATCTCACCACCGAATTGAGGGACACCTCCGCCACATTCAAATGCAGATGCTCCTCCTCCGCTGCTTCCTCTTCTGATTCCTCACTCTCTGTATCCTCCTCCTGAACTAAAAGCATCTGAAGGGCGTGCTCTTTGCAATGGTGTCTTGAGGCTTATTTCTCATCACAACGGTAACACAATCCTTTTGCTCTTTTGTCCCGTACTTTTACTTTTGTGAGGCGCTTAAAATTACCCCTGGGTCGGGGTCCCGTACTCTCTTCTTCGACGTTTCTTTCTGAAATGATACCATCTGGGTCCTCATTGTCGTGGTTGTCACGGTGCTCTTGTAGAATCCTTCGGTGTTGCCACCTTTGCCAGTTTTCTTCACATGTTTCTTATCCTTCCATCTTCCGGGCGAGCTCCATCATTTCCCTCAATCTTCGTGGTTTCAAGGGGCAGATGACTGCTTGTATGTCGAGCTTTAGGCCTTTTAAAAGGTTCCCTTCCAGTCCTACTATAGAAATCCCCCTCAACCTCCCTAACAAGACCTCAAACTTTTCCCGGTATTCTATAACCGTCCCCTCTTTAAGTCCGAACATAGAATTGCTCATGTAGGTCTCCTTTCTGAATGGCTTGGAAACACTCCAACAAGCAATCCTTAAAATCCTCTCATGAGTGCATCAGATACCTTGCCTCCATCCACTAAATTCTTCCCCTCCAAGCATAATCCAGCTACCATATGCTTCTCTTTCTCAGTCAACCCATCGATTGCAAAGTATCACTCCACCTGATACACCCATCCATGTGCATCCTCCCCTTCGAAGATTAACATCTTCAATTTCTTGACAATTGCATCTCCACCCCAATTTTCTCTCCCTTCAGAATTTTCCCCCATGTATCTAGGGTGAAATTTTCTCTTGTGGTAATAAAGCATATCCAACTCTTGATTCCCTACTTCCTCCATTATACTCTTCCGTTCCCTTTCCACCATCCCTTCTCCAATTTTCGGCCCATCTCCCTTCATAGGAAGTCTCCACTCCCTCTCCCCTTAGAGTCCTACGGGGATGTACAATTAAAGTTTAGATGTTAGATATGTAAATACACAGGAATTTAGTGTCATGCATGTAAATCTTTCTTTATTTTTTTTCCATGAGTCGATATGATCTGAATATTTGCTATGGGTTTTTGAATCACATTTATTGTATTTTGATATTCACATTTGAATGTACATGATTGCATTTTTTCGTTCTTCTTTTACTTCATTTGTGCTTGATGTGCCATCTTAGCTTTGGCCTATAATATTGGTTGAATTTTTTGATCTTTTTAAAATTTTTAATTACTGTGGATTCTGAAGGGCAATAGTCTTATGAGGATGCTTAACGTTGCCGCCTTTGCTCTTTCCGGATATGCGTCTACTGAAGGAAGAATCTGCAAGCCTTTTAATCCACTTTTGGGGGAGACATATGAGGCTTACTATCCGGATAAAGGTGTTCGGTTTTTCTCGGAAAAGGTTTGGAATTTTTGCTTTCTTTTCATATTTTATTTAAAGTTATGGCAAAGATGCGCTGGAAAATAATGCTCCTAGATACATTTGACTATTAAGTCCTCTATTTCTCAGCATCTGATAATTCTGGCCATAGATAGAATATACTCACCTAATTATTCATATTCGTTGTGATTAGTTTTTCTTGCTTTCTTGATAGATTTATATCTCTGCTCTTTGCACGTAAATTTGTTAGTGTTGTATCTGTAAACTTGTCTGACGGAATTATCAATTTTAGAAGCTTGAAAATTAGGAAGGTAAATCTATGAACATTTATTGCAAAGGTTTATAGACATACATTATAAAATTAAACAAGAAAAAAATTTCTCACAGTTCCTTTTTGCACTCTTCAACGGATTGTGAATTAAATACGAACTTTCAAATTTTATTTTAAAATGCACAATCAAATACTAGGTGTTTTAAACATCACTGGACCTACAACACTTGCACAAGCGGATAGAAGACGAATCAAAAGCTCAAAATGAAACTTGGCACATTTTTAAATTATCATAATGTTTGCGCAAATGTTCAAATTTTAGATGATTTTAGGGCATACATGTTACTCGAGGTTATTTTCAACTTAGATTTATCGTCTTGAAGAACTTGCGAACACTTTCATGCAAGTGTATTGCATCAGTGCGTTGAGATTTATGCACAAAAATAAAATGCCTGTTTGTGCTTTGACCAATATAATAAACATTTAGTTATAAGGTCTGAAAATGCTGCATGGGTTATTATAAAATAAATTTTAAATCACATGAATGTGCTTCGACTAACATGTCTGGTCTGAGAATGATATGTGAGCAAACTTAAGCTAAATATTACTTGAATCTCATAATTTTGTGAATCTCTCTTTTCTAAAATCTCATTTATAACTATTGTGACTGCCTTGTTTATATGACATGATCTTGAGTCTCATTTTGGCCAATGTGATTTTGCTTCTTGTAAGAATTGGTTTTGATAAGATGGAGCCTCACTTTGGCCAGTTTAATCCTTTTTTTTTTTTTTTGATAAGAACTGGAGTAGGTGAGATTAGACTCTCTTATTTAGCCAATTTGCTCATCTTACAAGAACTGGAGCTGACAGATCTGATGCCCTAGTGATATTGAAATTATAAATTCTAATTAAAATTACAACTATGAGCGATGCAATTATTCAAAATCTTTGATAATGATTGTGTTGAATGCAAATATCAGTAGTGATAGTCTATTAATAAAATATTTTTTTTCAAATTATAAAAGAATTTAAAAATATTTAAATGAAATATTTCATCTAAAAATTAAGAGCAATCTCCATCTACCCTTCATAACAATTTATCAAGGGTGATAAGTTTATAATTAAACAAGCTCATAAATAATCAATATCGTATTAAGTATACTACTACATTTAAAATAATCAACCTCCAATAAGGATGTATTCCGAGTCATCTGTCTGTGGTTTGACAAATAGGCTCTACAAATGAAGTGGTTATGATTGGTACTCTCTGGCATGGTGGTTTGATTAGTAGGCTCCATTATAGTATAGTCTCGATTATAGACCGTATGATCACCAATAACTTCCTGCCTTATTTAATTGTGAATCATAGGGTATAATTGATAGGTCACAAAACCTTTTGTAAGCTAAGATCGACTTAAATTTACTCCCTTAGGTGAATATTAACCCCAAGTCTACTACAAGACCCCTTAGATGAAGCAACCCATGACCGTTGATAATGATCCTTTTGTCATGTTGAGTTGATTGTCTCCTATGATTAAATAAATCAGAGATCATGACAATCTAGGGTCGACAAAATCATAGGATTTTGATCAATTGGTCATCACTCCATAATCTTCTCAAAGCTCATGATGATAAATTTCCTAATTAAAAATATTAAATTGTTGTTACTATATGTTAAGTTTAAACACTTAGCTCCTAATAACTAGCATTTATTGAGAGTGTTGTCCCGTTATCGTGACGGGTGATTAATTATAGGGCCTTATACTTGTGAGAAATCTTGACCCCTAAAACGAGTGAAAATTTTCTAGGAAGTATCTTATCCACTATTTTATTTGTTTTTTTTTTAAATTGACTTGAAAATTACATAAGATTATCTTCATCCATCTTCGAGAGAGACTAAGGTGTGATATTTGGAGCCCACACTACCTAATTGTAGATATTCAGTAATAATTTGTTTTCTTATGTTTATACTACATAATGGTGATAAATATTCAATCTAGCATTATTTAATATCTAGAAATATTAACGACATTTTTTAACAGACATAAACAAGTTCTTTACTTGAAAATGTCATAGCATTTTGTATAATGAAGGCAAACATTCCGAAGGGCACAAATCATGAGTCATGTATATATATATATATAT